CAACTTTTGTTCCAGGAGTACTAGTTGCAAAGAGTCAAATCCCTACTACTAATCATCATGGTCGATACACATATTCATTTCTTTACATTCTATGGATTATTCAGCAACCAAAAATTACAATATTTCTCTTTTGTGTAAGTACAATTGAAAATATTCGGCTTTAATTGAATGAAAAAGTCTCTTTTTTTTGAAAAACTTTATGAAAAATATATATCGCCATGTGTTTCGAAAACAACATCACTATGCAAATAAAGGTGAAAAAAGTAGAAGATTAGGTGACAAGAATAATATTGTCTATGAACAGAACAGAATTAATAGAGTGACGAGTCTCCCTTTTTTTTATGTAGGCTTTTAAAGTGATGAGAGAAAAGGTAACTTTATTTTTATATTTAAAAACACGTCGCATGTGGAAAAAAAACAGTCACTTCTTTTCAGCGATATGTGAGTCACATAATCGATCAATAAGCAATCTATAAAATCAATATTATTCTTTCTACTAGTCTCATTTTAAGTGGTAAGTACAGTCATATATAGAGAGACGACAGTATACTTGGTTCTTCATATTTTTCTTACCCATATACGTACGAGTAAGAATCCATGGTTCTTTTCCCACATGTGAATCCTGTACATTGCGTCTTCTTCGTAGGCAAGTCTTTTCTAAAATTATTTCCAATTGTTTTGTCGAATATATATCATTAGATAAAAATATCTCGTGTTATTTTCTTAAAAATCTCATCATGACGAAATTTCACTTATAGACAATCGATTAGAAACTTTTTAAAAAGATTTCAAACTATTCTAACACTTGTTTAATCTGTAACTTTATCATAATGGTAAAATATTTAAGAGAATCTGAAGCATTTGACTTCTTCTAGTCGAATTCATGAGATTATTACTCAGATAGATCCCTTTTCGACTGGATGTTTTTGATCGGAACTATTTAGTAACTTAGACACATATATATGTTTTTTTTTGTTCCATTAAAATTTAGAGTTGTTTCACTTCACAACTGAACTACTACCTTAAGTATTATTCCTATCCATCGAAATATATTTCATTATTCTGGGGAAATTCTTCTAAAATGTTGAACAAAACTCATAACAAAGAGGACGTTACTCTGATCTGGTATGACTCAAAGATTGACTCTACTAATCGTATTGAAGAAATAGAAAAACAATTACGTCAAATTAATCATTATGTTATATTTCACAATCAACGTGAATCTTGCATTGCGTTCATTCAATCGATTCATAATGAAAAAATCTTCTTTATTTCTTCGATTTGTGACGCAATAGAAATATTACCTCATATTAAAACAAAACCTCAAATTGACAGTATCTTTATCTACAACTGGGAAAAACTCAGTCAAGAACATTTGATTTTTGAACATACAAAACTGATTGGTATCTACAATGATCTCGAATTATTGTGTTTTTCCGTTCAAGAACAAATCAATCTTTTCGACAAACACTTACAAACATTTAGTTTCTTTGATCAAGATGATTACATATCAAAAGATCTATCAAAACAAACAGCTGATCTTCTTTGGTTTCAACTTTATCACGACATTCTTTATCAATTGTCATATAATGAAGAATCTAAACAAGAAATGATCGATGAATGTCGATCGTATTATCGAGATAATATTAAACAATTGGAAGCAATTGACGAATTCGAAAGTAAATATCGATCAGAAGACGCTCTTCAATGGTATTTGAAAAAATCATTTCTTTACAAAATTGTCAATAAAGCTTTGAGAATCAAAGACTTTGTTCAACTTTACACATTCCGATATTTTATGAAAGATTTGACAGAATGTATCGTTCGAGAACATCGTAAAATGATCCAATCTGATAAAGAAATATTACGTGTCTATCGGGGAATGAAGTTGACACGAGATCAACTCGAAAAATTCAAAGATAATCAAGACACATTAGTTTCAATGAATGGTCTTTTTACAACCAGTACTCATCGTTCAGTTGCATTGAGCCAAGCGATGAAGCACTCAAAACAATCTGATCTTATCTCACTTCTTATAGAAATTCGATGCGATCTAAAACATCTGAATGACGCTGCCATTGTTACTAATCTGTATGAAGAACAACAAGAAATTCTCTTCAATTCAAATGTCACTTTTCGATTGGAGTGTATGAAAAGGGAAGAAGATATTTGGTTAATTCAAATGACAGCAACGAATGAAGGTCAAATAATCAAAGA